AAATGTGTGTATATTGTCCTATCCAAGTACTATGATCGCACTCATATGACTACTGTAGAACCTGATGAAGAAAAACTTATCGTAAAGAATATTCGTTACTTTGATTGGACACTAGGTAATGTGTCTAATCCCTAGTGTTGGTGCAAAATGAATGCTATCAGTTAAGCTTGCAATGTGGCCACTATTCTATGGGGGAATTGTTGTTATCAGATGGCTAGAGGATAGTGGCAGGAAGTCTTGTATTCAGGATCACATGTAGTACAACGCCTGGTTCTAAGGCACTATACCGATTGCTTTCTTTGTTTACTTTTTAATTATTGGGTAAAATCTCGTATAATAGTTTAACCTTGTCATCGTATGTATCGTAAAACAACAACAACAGCACATGGAAGACAAAATGAAAACTTTTTTTCTTCGTTTACCTTTAAACGTTCATTCAGTGTGTGTAATCGGTTGGCTTGAGTTGCAGCATCACCATGATAATCATATAATAATGTTTCACAATTAGATAAATTTGTTCGTAGACGTTCTAATTCCTCTTCAGCTGTGTGCAATCGTTGCTCACATTTTAAGGCTACTTCACGTAGTCGGATATTCTCCTTTATTTTATTTTGGTTCCATCGATTTGTTTAAGTCAAAAGAGAGAAAAAAAGCGGAAAAAATGCCAGCAACGATAAATATAAGCATTGAAAAGTTAATTTAATGAAAAATGGGTGTACAATTCAGCTGGAAATCTTTTGACTGAGACTATTTCAGACACAGTTTAATTACAATGAGTGAACCAACCTTTTTATAAATAAACATTATTGCAGTGTTCTATAACAGCTAAGTACAATATGACGATTTCCCGACATTAACGTGGTGGTGGTGGTAAGGTTTGTGTATCGCACTGACTCAATGAACTACGCTGGCGAAAATTAATATTCCTGGAGGTACTACCATGCCAGAAAGGCCGTTTAGATAGCCTTTAGACTGAAAGCAATTACCACTATAATATAAAGTTGTTTCACTATGTTGTCTCTGCTCTGGAAGTGGGTGGTGGGTGGTTAGAGAAGTTCGACTCCAGAAGTTGTACATCTCTACTCACCTTGTAACAGTAAGATCTTAATAGGGATGCAACGCCAAGAACCATTTCAAACAGACCCCGTGTGTGTGTGTATGATGGACCTTAAACATTTGTCCTCTGGGCTATGCGGTCATGTAATACTAATCATCCTACTGTTTACGTGATGCGGGCAACTGGGAAGTAATAATAACTGCCCTCGCACTCCCATAAACCGTCCACCTGAGCTTTCCTGACCATCACTCAGCTTCATCATATAACGACTGGACAAAGTCCCTAGGGTAAAGTTAAATGTCAAGCACTAATAAGTACTAAAGGATGATAATTGAACTTGAAAGCACCAACCACATGATAAAGGCGATTTTTGCATATACTCATGAAAATAATGAAGAATTAAAAGGCGTGAAACTCTGTTACACAGGATACCTTTCTCTGACATGTGACAGAAGAAACCTCTCAGTTTTGGATTGGAGTAGCAATCAAGTAAATTTAACCACATCCTATGCACGTTATTATCTAGGTCTTCCAACCCTAATCTTTCCCTAAACTAATCCAAATCTAATTCGAACCAACCCTAATGTAGCCCTCGTTAGGTTGACCTAAACCTAACCCGCCCTTAGCCTAAACCCTTAATCTTTTCCAAATCTAACCTGATGAGCCTTGTCAGATATCCCATCTAAATAACATAACACTTCATTAAGCATATTTTATTCATGAGTACAATATCATCTAACAGGTCTCATTAACTTCCTCACTGAGCGCTTCAAGGTCATTGATGGGGCTCACACTCCACTGGTACTTTCTTTTTTTTCCTCCACGTTCCCAGTGGAACATAGGCCTTCAAGCTAGTGGCTTGAAGTTTCTGTAGCAGTGTTTATTTCATAGGATGTGGTTGCTAGCCTCATGCCCAACCTTTCCTCTTCACCAGCATTATTTCTGGCTTAGCGAGGTAAAGGAGTGAGTCGGCCGGATCGAACCCCGGGCCATAAGCATGGTCGATGAGCGTCCTAACCGCTTTGTCACCAACGCACTGATACTTATTGGTGCTTAAATTCTAACTTCGCCACCCTGGTGGGCTTTTGTGCGTCGGTGGCACAGCGGTTAGAACGCCCGCCGACCATGCACATGTTCCGGGGTTCGATCCCCGGCCGATGCACACCCGATATTAAAGATCGGCCTTCAAAATTTAGGCTACCGATATCACATGCTGAAAATTCCATACTTGTGTCAAAAATCTGTGTGGAGTCAAGCTATAATAAAAATAAAAAATAGTAACTGATGTGAAACGAAGACCTAGTAAACAGTTGGACATAGGTAATAACACCTGGTTTAAATCTTGATAAGACTCAGATCTTCCTTTGAAATTCAACACTGTTGTCTATATCAATATGTAAAAAATTAGTCCGCTAATGTTGAATAGTAGAATGCCCACCAACCATGCATGCATGGTCCTGATTCGAATCCCGGACGACGCACTCCTAAACCTCGCTTAGCCAGTAGTATAATAAACCCAGTAAAGAGGGTGGGGTTAAGCGTGGGGCTAACAACCCCGCCCCGTGCAAGCAAAAAAAACACCGCCGCTACTGAAACCTTAAAGCTCAGACTTGCAGTCCTGTATTCCACTGTGAATGCAAAGCAATGAGAAAAAAAAGCCATCAATGCAGTGTTATTGCTTTGTCTCTCTAACTTACCTCTCTCAAATCTTTATCTCCATCAGTGTATACAGGTGGTCTGTTCGCATTCGTTAGGCCATTACTATCAAATATACCGCCACCTATCATATCATCATGTAACTGACGTTCTTTACTGCGGCTTCTAGATCGAAGATTAGAGTTTTCTAATTCTGCCTAAACAACATAAAATAATAAGAATAAACTTAAAATAATGAAGCACATAACTTGTAATTGGTTTTAAGTAGAAAAAAGTTCATAATGTGAAAAGCTTTACCCCTCAATATGTATAGAGAATAACTGTGAATTAAAGGCTACTCGAAATCTATTTCATATTAGTTTCGCAGCTTGGCAACACAGTACAGCTCCACCGTAGAAATTATTATTATTATTTCCTTTAATTCCTAGAGGAACATAGGGCTTCAGCCGTGCGTCTCCATTGCGTTCGGTTCTCTGATAGAGTTTTCACCTGTCTCCAAGTCTGTCAACATGCTTTCATCTCCTCTTCACATGACCTCCTCCAAGTCACCCTCACGCTGACGACCAACTCGCCGCTTCCCTTTCGGGTTCCACTCGAGAGCTAGTCTAGTGATATCACTTGATGGCTTCCTCACAGTATGGCCAATCCATCTCCACTCTAACTGTTTATTTGTTGCACAATCGGTTCCTGGTTGGTTCGTCCCCAGAGATCCCTGTTGCTGATCTTTTCTGGCCATCTGATCTTGAGTAGTACTGAGTGAAGGCAGCTGTTGATGAAAGTCTATAGTTTGTTTGAGGTGCTCTTTATGACGCGCGAAGTCTCTGATCCGTATAGTAGCAGTGACTTCACATCGGAGTTGAAAATCCGGACGTTATTTTTGATGCTGAGTGCTGTTGACCGCCAAACAGACTTGAGAGTAATGAAAGCTTGCCTTGCTTTCTTGATCCTTGCTCTGATATCCTCGTCAGTTCCGTCCGCTTCCCAGGTGGGTGAGTAAAGGAGGTTGTTTCTTTCAGGTTCCTCCCATTTATGCTGACTGCTGTTGTTGCTGTTGGCCAGGAATCCTAATCACCTCTGTTTTCTCTATGTTCACCTGATGGCCTATCTTCTCTGGATGCTTCTTCTGCCGACTTGTTGCTTTTCACTTGCACATCTCCCAGTGTTTGTGGGAAATCAGACAAATGTCATTTGTAAAAAATTATATTTGTAAAATCTCAGCGATATTGAAATAAGTAATTCCAACGTTTCGTTCGGCAATCTGGTCCGAACTTCTTCAGGGAAATTAATCAAAATTAACATAACAGAGGTTTTATATATAAAAGGCACATCTTTTTAAAAACTTTGTCCAATCATGATTCATAAACACAAGTATTAACAAGTATAATAAACAAAATTGTATGAGCTGTGATCAAAATTTGACCTCGGACTTACAAATATTGGTCTACCTTTGTTAAATACTTTAAACAGAGTGTGCATGCGTGTGTGTGTAAACAGTCGTAAAACATTTCTTAACGTCCCCATAGGAAGATATAGACAGTCAGGAATGTCATCGGTGAAGTCAAGATCCTCCAAGTTTTTTGTGTGACTCCATTTTACCGTAGAAAAGCCCGAGCTATTCTTAGTGAAGCTGACGAGATTTTAGTGCTATGTATTGTATATTATTATGTTGGTTTTAAAAGTATTATGTGGCAAGTGGTAAAACATGAAACAGGGGATAATAATAATATTATGCTCAGTTTTCTGTGTCACAACAAGGACATTTTGAATCTTTAGTGTATTAAACATGTGGTCAGTATTCAGTCTATCAACATAGGAGATGTCAGAGCTAGTAACGATCGGAAAGGTCAGGTAGACCTTCATCACTCTGAAACCAGTTTGGAAGTCTGTTGCACAAAGAAGAAAAAATTCCAATTTTCACGAAGGGCATTTCCAACAGGCTACTGCAGTCTTTCGTCAATAGCTGCCCTTTTCGCTTCATACTGTAGATTAGATAAGGGACCAGAGACCTATCGCATAACAAACTTGCCGAAGTAAATGAATATGGGCGGAAAGTACACTGAGTAGACAGTTGAGTGACATCACACACCAAGCTATCGAGTAGATGACGACTAGGGGGTCTCAGCGTGACATGGTGGAGATCGTGTGAGTAGGAGCTGAGAGCTTGTGTTCAATTTGTGAACCCAGCTAAAGGAAACTGTAGAGGACATAGTGAAATGGAGATGTGCTGTTGTAGCCCTAGGGCCAATATAATGGATAGGAAAAAGTTCATTTCTTACCAACAACAAATTTAACATCTTAAAGATAAAAATAAATCACAATGTTCAGCCTAAATGTATATATATATATATATATACATATAGGAGTTCTATACTTTTCTTACCCGAAAACCGGCTATAATAGACTCTTGAGTAGCTAGTTTATGAGAGATTTCACGAAACGCCTCTTCAGCCTCATCTGCACGACGTTTCTGTGATTTGGCAGCTCGTTTCAAGGCTTCTTTTGTTTCACGCATACGTTCTAAGTTGGCTTCTGCTGTTTCTAGCCGAACTTGGTTTTGAGCTTGTTGTTCAGCTAGACGTGTTTCTAAATTACGTACTTGAATAGACAATCTGTAGATAGAAGGTAACACGAAATAAATTTCCTCATAGTTATGTAATTGTGAATATGCAGTAAGGTAACTGAATGAATGTTTATACATTGTTACTCATTTTGTTAAGGGTTCGCCTAAACCTCGACTTAACTGATGTACTTTTTTAACAGAAATTAAAGGTAGATACTTGAATGGTTAAACTGTAAGCTCCATGCTTCATTGACTGTGGCAAGACAGCAGCACCATAATTCAGTCTAAGTCAGTGTCATGTGTTGGTTTTGCAGGGATTTGATTGGTTAGAGGTTTAGTCACGCATTGACGTCATTTAGAAGGTCATTAGCGACCTGTAGCCAATCAAGTACTTGCAAACTAACACTTGAAAATAAATTTGATGCTCACTAGAGACTGGCTTTTTACATGAAGTAATCTGGAGTTCTAGTGAGAATTCGTGACCAGTGGGGTCCACCAAATCAGCTAAGTGAACAGCTGCTCACCCACAACACTGGCTGATGGTTGTGCTATGTATATTGCAAACTAGCAAAAATTGAAATTCATGGGCCATTGGATTCCTTCCCAGTGGCTGAGCTCGTCTTAGGTTCGAACCCGATGGGTGCATATTTCTGGAGTCTCAAACCAAGATGAAACCACTGTCCAGTACTCCCTGGCTTTCCAGTGGTTCTCTACCTGATGTCAATTCGTGATTAAACCTGTAACCAAGAAAGTATATTTTTATCCACCTTCGTCACAAGACAAATCCTGTAGTAGGAAAGAAATAAAACCATAGGGAGGCATAAAAAACACAAGAGGGAATCATTACCCATTCAAATTGTTACATTGCATCAATATAAAACAGAGATTTTTTTAAAAAATAACGCGAAACAGAGTACAGAAAGCTCAGACGAAGAGTTAGTTATACGATATATATAGAATGGGTAAATCAGTCAATCGCTCTGTCATTGTTTCACTTGTGACACTTAACCATCTGTGTTGAATACCTTAGAATAGAACATACACTTCTCCAATATTAATTTACTGCAAAAAGTCGGTGACTTTACCTTGTCAGCAACATTTGACTCAAATTGAAACAATCGTAACCTTTTCTTTTGTATTCCGAGTGGAATATATAGTAGGGCTTCAAGCTTGAGCTGTGGTGTTTTTTGTACGGAGTGGGTTCGCCAGCTTCACATACCCAACCTTCCCTCTTTAAGTGGGCTTACTACGGAATAAACAATATTTATGAGTGCGTCAGTCGGGAATCGAACCTGCAGCATATGTCCACGCACGTAGTTGGCGAGAATTTTACCAGCACACCAAAGAATCACACGATCGTAACTTAAATAGAATAAAAATCTAAAAATTCAACGTAATTCTGATTTTAAAAGAGCAGACTAAGATCGGTCTTTTAGTTGAAGGATGCTTCATCAAGAATTTAGGTATCACACTAACGTACTAGTATAAGAAACTTCTACATAGAAGTTCAGATATGAAGCACAATAGTACAAACAAAGATGCGGAGTCCAGAAAATCATCTAAAATAAGCTGTGAATATATTGCATGGGAAAAGAAAAGAAATTATTTAACACAATAGTAGATATACGATGACTGAAAAGCTTTCAAGAAAAGAGAAAAAAGCATCTTATCTTACCGACTACACTCCGAATCACGTTGTCGTAGTTGACGTTGTAAATGACCCTTAACGCTTTCCATAGATTCATGAACTGTGTTATACTTTAAACTTTCATTTTGTTGTTCATTCAATTGTTTTTGAGCTACTTCTAAGTCGATTTCTGTGTTTTAATAAGTTAAAAAGGGGGAAAGTGTTTACAATACAAACAAATACAATCATTAAGTGAACACTGGTTGTGTAATACACAAAAGTATAATTATTAATTGGCACTTTGTAGTGATTGTTTGGATCACAAGCTGACATAAGTTTGAGAACGACTGGAAACCAGGCAGTACTGGTCAGATGTTTCGTGGCAATCGCCAACTAATGCCACAGGCAAGTAACTGTTCTTATACCTGACTTCGTGGACGCCGTTGGTCACGACTTTTAACTAGAACTCCGGGTAACTTACTATACAGAGCCAGTCGCTAGTGAGTATTAGGTAAATTATCAGGGATTTACACCGATTACAGGAAGTTCCTGGTTTCGAAGCCTAGTGGTTGCGTACTGCTGCAGAGTCGTAAGGTAGGACGAAACATATGTCCAGTTCTCCCTGGTTTTCCAATGGTTCTCTAACTGATGTCAGCTAGTGATCAAACCTGTAAAAGTGTATTACTCATACGACGTTTAGAAAATACTATTTCAGTGACTATGGAGAGAAACAATTCACCAGATAGGGAACTCTTATTAATCAGCCTACGTCTGCTAAAAAAAATTACCGCAGCTGGAAGTCAAAGATCACTAGTTTCCTACCCAGTTGGTGAACATTTCGATGCTTACACAGAAACCTGATGATTTCCCACTCTATTCACCACGGATCTGTAGGTGACCGTAACTAAATTGTACGATTCTATGAGCATAAACATCCTTAGTTATCAATGTCTTTTACTAGGTATCGTTGGTATGTGACGAAAACTCACTTTCAAGTTAACTGATCTACCCCACCAAACATAGAGATAGGAAACCATTACACCTGTAATTGTAACACTTCTTCAAGGCTCTCAACGATTTGGTTTAGTAGGTGATATATATATATTTCGTAAATGTTTTAGATACACTTTGTAGTTTATGTTGTTCTTCTAAGTGGAGAAGAGCCTTCAGAACACTGTGAGGAAGAATCTCAGGATGGCGGGCATACGATTCGCCTCGATCAAATGTAAGATGTTGCTACAGAACTCATCTGCATCGACTCTCAAGTTTAGGGATAAGGAGTGAAATGGTTGACGCGCTGAACACCATTTCACTTATTTAGGAAGTTGCATCAGCCTCAAATGTGCGTCGGTGGCACAGCGGTTGAATGCTCACCGACCACGGATGTGGTCCGGGGTTCGATCCCCGGCCGACGACGCACTCCTGTACCTCACTAAGCCAGTAATAAGACTGATAAAGAGGCAAGGTTGGGCATGAGGCTAGTAACCCCATCCTGTAAAAATAAGCACCACTGTTAGGGAAACTTCAAGCCTCTAGCTTAAAGCCCTATGTTCCACTGGGAACATAAAGAAATTTTTTTAAATTAGAAAAAAAAATCAGCTTTAAATGGACTAATTGCTGATGAAATCTCAGCACAAATACGAAAAGCTCGTTTAGGTTCTGCCAACTTGTGTCATTTTCAGCGCATACGTGATATCAAGCTAAGAACACATGCAATGTGCACTGGTTAACTATGTCATACTATTGAAGATATAGTGTAAGAAAGACTAGCGGGGATTTTATTAGCTTGTACTAAATGGTCAACAAAACTGAGGTTATTGGTATGCTAAGGTTGTGAAACTCCATCGATTGAGATGGTTTGGTCACCTGTTACTATTCATTCCAACCGCTGACTGCCTCAATGACCCGAACTATGATGATGCTGGTAGTAGTAGGGACTTGGAAGTAGTCAAACCAAAACATGACACTAGTCTATGCAGTCTTTCATTGTTGATTTGAGACACCTGAAAAAAAATGTAGAATATCTGACTGAGGTTGTGGAGATGTGCTGAGAATCAATGGTTGGACACTGACTGTTGCCGAGATGCCTGAAAACTGTTCTCAGTGGTGCAGATATATTATAAAACTTCTCTCTATTCTTCATCGGATTATGCTTTCACCTGCACATTTTCGTACTTCTATGCGTGCTTCTTCTAAGTGTGATAGCTGCAATTTTGTATAAAAGTTCAATGTTGGCAATTCAGTTCACTTCAGTTGTAGTAGTTTCTGTGAATTGACTTTAAGCACTTGGCCACTAATCACCATAATTTACTAAAGAGCAATAAAAGTTTGAGCACGTTTGCGCTGTCGCTTGATAACATTAACTTTTATTACTCTACCTCCTTTAATTGTATTTTTCTGGCGTGTGGTCCTTATCAGTGTATGTAAGTCTGTCATCAGATTAGTGCTGTTTAGTTTTCGTCATCGGAAGAATTCGACTAGACACTGTTTAAAGTCTCAATCTCTTCATCACTACGCACACCCATTACCCTGCCGGGGATGAAACCCAAAACCTTCAGGTTACGAGGTGAGCTCGTCGATCATTCAGCTACTGGAATTGAATCCAACAGGTCACGAATTCGCGACTTTTAGTCCCCCCCCCCCCGACCTAGTGGACATCAGATTGATTTTCACGTGTCGGTTTAAATGGATCTAGAGTTACTCATTCAAAACTTCTAGTATAACTCATCTGCGTGTTGGTGCATTACGACTACTACTTACCCATTCGATCCAGTTTTTCTGTCAGGCGTTTAACTTCAGCATTCAGATTAGCTTCACGTGTTTGTGTTTGAGATAATCGATTGGCTAAAATTTCATTCTGTTGTTGCTGAACACTTGACGCCCATCGGCATAATTCTCGTCCCGCGCGTCCAGCAATTTCAGTTTGTAGCAGTAATTCATCTCTTGGTTGTACAAGACGTAACATATCGTGTGAATCGACACGTCTACCTTCATATGCAACCTATAAATTATGCATTAAAATAACATGCAAGCATATTTATTGTATTCTTTGGAACCTGTATTCTTCCTTCTTCACATAGTACAATGCTGTTCATTTTATTTTGATAGGTATAATATCTACGTGTGTTTGCGTTCTATTTCCCGTGTGAAGTGGTATATTAAGGTGAGCAATATTGAGGTTAGGCGTCGAGTGCTAGGTAAGGCGGGGAAATCAATCGACGAAACTGTGAAGCTACATCGACTGAGATGGTTAGGACATGTGTTGCGTATGCCAAGTCATCGCCTTCCTCGACAATGGGCAATGTTAGCTGATATAGCGTCAGGCGGGAAAAGAGCTAGCGGCAGTCAAACTAAAACATGACACCAGTCAATGAAATCTATAACAGTTAGTCTAGGCCACGTAGGAAGGTGTAGATTTCGTGACTGGTTGGGGTCCTCGGGACGGTAAAACCAATGATTGGAAACTTTCGGTGCTATGGCTCAAAATCGTTCTCAATGGCTGGCGCAGATGCATCCACTCCTTGTGACTTATGATTTCCAATGAAACTGTTTTGTTCTTCGTTATCACTATTCCTTTGTCTCACACCTCTGTTTACTGTCTCTAATATGCATTTCTCCTACTTTCTTCTCTTGCTTTGTGTGCTAAATGGAGTGTAGCGACTTGAACTGCCGCATATATGTGCAAAGTTCTATGTCGAAAACAGACAGAACAGATATAATGTCTTATATACTTAAAATGCCGGTCGGTAATTGCACCACTCAATTTAAAACTTTGTACGCAGACCATATTAGTTACAACATGGTTTACACTAAACAGTTCATTCTTTCCATTATGGGAAGTTAGTTGCACAGTTCTACTTAATGATGACGTTTCGAGAATATTTATTGTTCATGATCATATCAAGGTACTTACTTACTTACTGACTGGTTTCAAAGTAGAACTTTGCACCTATGCGCAGCAGTTCGATTTGCCACACTTCACTTAGCACGCAAAGCAAGAGAAGAAAGTAAAAAGAAATGCAAAACAGAGATATAAGGCTTAAAGGATAGTAATATCGAATACTAATATAGTTTTATTGGATATTGTCAGTCATAAAAAGTGGATACATCTGTGACAGCCATTGAGAACGATTTTCAACTATATCACCAATTGTTTCCAACCATTGGTTTTTACCGTCCCGATGACCCCAACCAGTCACGAAGTCTACACCTTCCTACGTGGCTGGCTTAAAATAACTGTTGTGGATTTCATTGACTGATGAAGCCATGTTTTGGTTTGACCGCCTCTAGCTCTTTTCCAACCTGACCAATCCTTTGTCAGCTGACATTGTCTGTCTAGGAAGGCAATAACTGGGTGTACGTAACACACGTCCTAACCATCACGCTCGGTGCAACTTCACAACCACGTCCATCGATTTCCCTTTTTTGCATAGCACTCGACGTCTAACCTCAATATTGCTCGCTCTATAATGCCACTTCACACGGCAACCAGAACGCAAGCACCTACGATCAAAAGCAGCTAGCCTTTTTGTATCTTCCACTTTCGATGGCCAAAACAGAGCGAACTGCTGAGCAGTACACACGTCCTTTGGTCGATAGCCTGAGATCACGTCTACGCCAGAGACGGCGTAAACTGGCATATGCGAAACTAGCCCTCTGTATCCGTGCTGAGATTTCGTCAGAGATCAACCCGTTGGGGCTGATGCAACTTACCAAATAAGTAGAGTGGTCAACGTGCTCTAGCACTTCATTCCCTATTTCTAAGCTAGGAGTCAATTTCGTCCAGTCCTGTAGCATCATCTTACACTTGACGGAAGCGGATCACACGCCGAGCATTCGTAGATTGCAACTCAAGGTGTTCAGAAGACTCTGCTCTGTATTTTGTCAGTGTCTTCATCTAGGAGGGAGGACTATATCGTCTGCATTTTCTAAGTCAACCAGATTATTCCCTTATGGTAACAAGTCAATTCCTGAGTCGTTAAACTCAGTTAGGGTTAAGTCCATTAGTACATCTATGATGAAATTGAATAGAAATCGGGACTGTTGGCATCCCTGACGGACACCACTAGTTGTCACCACTTCAGTCGCCGTAAGCCTTCACCTGGCTGCATGAGTTCGAGTAGAGTGCCTTGATCAGTGCAATGTATTTTTTCTGACATTGCCTTCACAGCCAAACATCTCCATAGTACCTCTCGGTTGACGGAATCGAATGCTGCCTTTAGGTCAAGAAATATGACGATTGTTGGACGGCAGTAGGAATGCCTATATTCCAGAATCTGTGGAAGGGTGAAAATATGATCAATACACCCTCTTCCTGGCCTAAAACCTGCCTGGTTTTCTCGTGTTTGTGCCTCCCGAGCACCAATTAGTCTGCGCAGTATTATTGAGCCTAGGATTTTAGATAATATATTAGTCAAGCTAATCCCTCTGTGATTATCACAAGAAGACTTGTCTCCCTTCTTGTATATCGGGATGATCAGTGACTTACACTACCCGACGGGATTTCCTCTGATTCCCAGACGCTGCCTAGTACTTTAGTTAACGCAGACAGTCAACTGTCTCCACCGTAATTAAATGCCTCTGGGGTCATTACACCGGGTTTTACAGCTATGTCTCGTTTCAGACCAGTGACCGCTTTTGTTCCACTTGGAACATAAAGAACGAAAAATAAAATTCTCTCATAGCTCTGCTATCATTTTGGCAAAATCTTGTTCCCTGTAAGATGAATATTTTTATTTACTAAAACGTCCACCGCTAATTTAAATGACAAAGTATTCACCTGAAATTATTTTGATCGGTGGTGACTGGCAGTCCTATTTTGAACTCATCAACTAGGGGATGCACTTGCATTCTCAGTGTGTGATGGTGTTCCCACCGAGACTCGAACCGTGCATCTATAGTTGAAAACGCCAAAGAATTATCCGTTAGACCATTACAACCACTTGTTGTACTACGAGTATCAATTATCATTCAAGTCTCAGTCAGCATAAAACCACTCACTGAAGAATGCAGGCACATCTAATTGACGAGTAGTCCCAAATAGGGTGTGAGATGTGTGCCCTGGATTCCACTGCTAGTTTACCACCAACCAAAACACGGTGTTGACATCTTTTAACATCGTCGAAATGTCTGTACTAGGGTCTGAACATTTTAGTCCAAATTCATCAACAACAAAAAAAAACGTGAAAGGCAAAATTAACCTGAAAAAACAAAGTATATTCACCTGTTCAATACAGTCAACAATATTTCTTGCTGATTTTGCAACACGACTAATTGCATTATCCAAATCCTTGATCCATTCGTCTAGAATTGAACTAGTGCAAAATGAAGCCTCATTGGTTAGTTTATCCCCTTCAAATAATCTACCATTTCCATATGTGTGCGTACACAATTTTGGCGTATCTTTGAGTTTATCAGAAGTGTGTAGTAGTTGTTCTTCATTAGATATTGTTTTGCATGAAATACATTCTTTTGGACATTCAATTGGTACTTCTTTGTCAGATTCGACCTCGTTTAATTCAGCAGTACTAACCTTAATATAAAAGTAAAAATTAGGAAAACGGGATTATTACCTAGAACAATAAAAGCCTGAGTGATTGGAAACAGCAAAAAAAAAATCAGATTAAAGTTCTCTTTGCAACACCAAACAGTACGGTGTTGTTGTCCTGAAATTTTTTGTGTATTTTTACTGCACAGCAATTCTCTCTGTCCTCTTTTATACCTGAAGGACATGGACATTGAAAGTGGTAGGTATGAAAAGGCTGTGTCTTTGACTATAGATGTTTACGCTCTACCTAACATGGTGAGTAATGTCCAAGTTAGGCGTAGAGTACTAGGTAAGGGAATGAAATCAGTCGATGAGGTTGTGAAGCTACTTTAGTTGGGGAGGCTAGGACACGTTTTGTGCTAACGCCTTTCTCGACGAGCAATGATTAGCTGACATGGCGGTTGGATTGAAAACAGTAATCGGTGGCCAAACCAAAACCTGGGATCAGTCTGTTAAGTCTTTGATTGTTGGTTTAAGCCAGTCATGTAGGGAGAGGTAGACTGTGTGGTTGGGGTCCTCAGGATGCTAAGATACAATGGCTAGAGATGATCATTGGTGATATGGCTCAAAATTGTTCTGAGAGGCACAGATTCATTCTTGTCCATGTTCCTAGTCTTTCCCCCTCGCATCTGCTTATTGTAGTTCTTTTAAGTCTCTTTTCTCTCTCTCTCGCCTTCTTGTTTGGAGTGTGGCAATTTAAACTGGTACACTTTTCTGTGTAAAGTTCTATGTTGAAAATTATTCAGTCTAATCAGTGGTTTTCATTAACTGTGGCAATATTTTACTCACTTATCCATACTGTAGCTCAGCCAACATATGTGTATTCACGTTTATGGTAATTATATATGCACCGGCTGTATGAGATCTAGTAACTCAATCTATAGCTGGTTGACATGATTTGAATGTAAAACTCACTACTTAAAAGTTGTTGAGTCCCAGAAGTAGCTTCGCATTACTAAGACAAACTATGCTCAGTTCACACTTCCACTATCTCCTGATTTTAATTTCTCAACAGTGTGTTTCTCTGACTTAATTGCTCAATTTTAAGCTGTTCAGCTTACATGTACACCCATTCACTCTACATTATAAATATTTGTGTTGTGTGTTGTTGTTGTTGTTTCAAGGTATATTATTCCCTTCTTATCTGCAAATTTAAGTGTGATTTGTTAGGCCTTGGTGATATCACAGAGGAGCAATTAGTGTTGTCTCTTACGAAATTGGCTGGCTAGTAGGTTCACTAAAATCACAAATTGGTAGAAGTCAGAATTCATGGGTGTACTGGTAAAAAGTTCCGGACTAGAATGAAACAGCTGTTCATGGTTGTATAGCTGTCATAAATATGTGGTTAAACCTGAAACAAATCAAATTCGCCGCATACTACAATGTTGCAGTGAGTCTCTCACGCTGAAAGCTTTTTTTCCCTTCACGTTCCCAGTGGAACATAGGGCTTCAAGCTAGTGGCTTGAAGCTTACAGGATGGGGTTGCTAGCCTCATGCCCAACCTTTCCTCTTTACCAACATTATTTCTGGCGAGGTGAAGGAGTGCGTTGGCCGGGGATCAAACCCCGGACCATGTGCATGGTCGGCGAGCGTCCTAACCGCTGTGCCATCGACGCACACGCTAAAAGCTACTGGCAGGAAATCAGTTCAGTTCGAATCCTATGTATTTTCGGCTTGTTTTTTTTTGTAATGGCCTTTTACTAAACACTTAGGAACTATATAATAATAATCAAAACAGACTAGACTGGCGGCAGCTGATTGTTTTGTGTGTCTCATTTAGGCACCAAAGACTTTAACACATAGATACACACAACTTCAGATGTCACCTATCAAAAAACAAAGATTTATTTTGGAAATAGTGTCAAAGTTGTACAATTAAAATTACCTTATTCAAATTCTCACTGAATGATTCTGCAGAGCGTGATCTGTGTTTTCTTCTGTCAGGCTTTATAGTGACACGACGTGCTGGATCACATGAAAATCGACCTATAAAGTAGTATATTCGGTCAACCAAATTTTTCAAAATTGAGACATAAAATAAAATGATATCTGTAACATGTATAATGACGGTATATATATACATTCATATATATATTTGAATGAGGGAAAAGCTTCTATTTATAATCTTCACAAGTAGCTAATGAATTCGTTTATAAAATTCCGATATTAATCCATGTGACCAGAAGAGCTGTTTAAGTTGCATAGCTTTGTTAAACAGTCGTTATAGATATGACAACGATACTTTGTATTTAATACTAGTCCAAAAAGTGTAGACAAGCATTCAGTAGTTAAGTGAGATACCTGGTCAAAAAAGGATAATATAAACCAGTAATCATAGAATCAATCGACGAAACTGTGAAATTACATCGACTGAGATGGTTAGGACATGTATTACGTTTGCCTAGTCATCGTCTTCCTCGACGGGCAATGTTAGCTGATATAGGGCCAGGCTGGAAAAGAGCTAGCGGCAGTCAAACGAAAACATGGCTTCACCAGTCAGTGAAATCTACAACAGTTAGTCTAAGCCACGTACGAAGGTGTGGACTTCCTGGTTGGGGTCCTCGGGACGGTAAAAACCAATGGTTGGAAACAATTAGTGACATGGCTCAAAATCGTTCTCAGTGGATGGCGCAGATGCATCCACTCCTTGTGACTTATGATTTCCAATGAAACTTTTGTTCTCCGTTATTACTATTCCTTTGTCTCACACCTCTGTTTACTGTCTATATTATGCAGTTCTTCTGCTTTCTTTCTTTCTTCTCTTGCTTTGTGTGCTACATGGAGTGTGGCGACTTGAACTGCGGCACATATGTGCAAAGTTCTATGTCGAAGACCGACCGAATCATGCTGACAGTTTTTTTATAAACAACGATCTATCATTTACCCGACATCAACCATTAGTAGAAGTGCAGATTCAGCATGTACACCAACACCAATAGTCAGTAAATTAACAGACTATTTTGCAGTCTAATTCTCTTTGCTGTTTAATATAATCCTGTTTCTGCATCTTTCAAACTTAGCAATTGTAACGTATAAGCAACAGAGTAGAGAGGAACCCATAACATTCTTGGCTGTATTACTTCTCTTAGCAAAATCTTTGAGTTTAACTACTTTACAGCTTAATTGATGCTCTTTTCACGCACACTGATATGATACAAATACAACCAGGAACAGAAATATGAAGTTATTTTTTGTATTTTCTATGCTAAAGCTTGGACCTTAACAATTTAGTAAAACATTGGATTGGTGTACTGTGTTCCCTCAAATACTGTTTCTTTCCTTAGTCTACCGCTAAAATATATTAAAAGTCTCTCATCTAATATCACTTTTTTATTCATAACATTCGCAAATGTGCTTCTTTCAAAAAGTAATAACTTCTAACTTATTGAGGAATTAAGAACAAGGCTCTAAGTAACGGACTTATCATTCCATATATTTGGATAATTATGAAAAGAGCTTTCAGTATCAGCTTTGATGTTTCTACTAAACTGGTGCTGGGACATCTCATTACAAAACGTGAAATGTAGATAATCACGCATTCGAAAATAGGCTTGGGCATATATATCAAGTACTTTTATCTTAATAAAATATAATACTTGTTTTTCTAAGGTATATATATTGTTTATAATGAATTATATATATTGTTGTTTGAAATTACACCCTTGTAGACTAGACAGGGTGCTACGGACCACTTTTTTAGTGCAGATAGTCAAAGCTAATGAACTGTGTCTTCGTTATTATTCCACAAGCCTAAGTCTAACCATTTCGAGACTGTATCTATTTAACTGGAATTATCATTTAGCCTGAAACCTGATTTATCTGACTCACGTGTTGTGAGTGTATCTCACGAAAATTGTGTCTCACACAAGCTGTTTACAAGTAGCGTAACTAGGAAGCTATAATAACTGATAGTTTCTCGTGCAGCCTTTTAATTGTAGACTTTTTGTAACACGAAATCATTTTTCTGGGATCTATGACACCATAACTACACGATTCAGCACACATCAATTCAGGTAGCCTAATATTTAAGAATATCTAGACATCAGTATCAAAGTCTTTTTTAAAATCTGTTTCTCATATCCACATAATACACTGGCAAAGTCACCTATAAAATGACTATGCTGTGTGAAATTTTCTGGCTATGAACGGTAATTTTGACATTGTCCAATTCTCAGCATAATATGTTATGATAAATGACATAGCCAGAATAGATCTCTTCAGATGTCAGCTTACATGGCTAATATATGTATTGAAGTCTGAACAAGGTAAAATAATTAGTCTTATAAGGTTGCATTTCAAGTAGTTTGTTTTATTTAGGAACCATGATAATTACTGTAAGAGTGAAATGTTAAGTATAGGTGGTCAGTTAACAAAGCTCCCAACCATTACGCTTATTCTTCTGAACACAAACTAAATGATTTTTAGTTTTCATCTCAAAGACAGCTGAAAGCTCTGGCTATGCATATTAATTAACGAAAAGTACTGCTGATCATTATGTAATGAGACCGCTCAGATTATCTATTTCTCCTTTCATGGTTTTCGGAAGTCTTTCTACTTCGTTTTCACTCTATTACATAGTGATATAGGGACATCGTATATAGCTTAGAATACGAAAAGTTAGTCTCAAAATAACAGAAGTGCGTGTCATTGCATGTAAATGAGTTATATTTGACTATTTACAGTTGGGATAGTTTTTTAGCAACCACTTGTCAGTTTAAACTACTTCAATTGAAAAACACATGAAAAAATTATCACGGTTAGGACAACCAATATAAACTAGTGTATGTAATAAAAGGAATAATACAGGGTAAATGAGGCGGGAATATATTCTTGTCTCATTACCGTTTGAAGTGAAGTTCCACCTCTCACTTAACTTACAAATTCTAATTTTTTGCTGCTTGTAATTTATACAAACTTGCCTGAACTCGTTTTCGCTGGTGGTGGCACCCACGGTGCCTGATATGGACCAATGTCAGTTAGCTTCACATTTCCAGATTCTGGAAGTCGAGATACTTGGGTTTTTTGATTAACGTGAAGGTGAATCGGTGTATCTCCAGGAACATGTAAGTGAATAGGCTGGCCATTACTTGATTTGTATGCAGGTGAACAAGTTACCTTAACTACATTTTTCGTCATTTTCAATAACCCTCGGACGGCGCGACAACAAAGCCGGCCAATCTGATTGGACGAAAAACTTACAGTGGAACATTAAAACAAATGTGAAGGTCATAGGGTCCGTGTGGACAAAACTCAACATATTCAATATTTTTGACACGTTATTGTACGAACCTTTTGAATATCAAAGCGATGGAGCAAATAAGTATACATGAGGACTCAGAATGATACGAGTGTGACAAAAACAATGGCCAGAGACAGCTATGCCCTCTCCCAGTGATTGGCCACTGTTTAAGATTCAAAATGCAACGACAATATAGTGTCTTAAGTAGGGCTATGCATGTGTTTCGTATAATTGTTTCAAATGACCAGATGTAACTGTAATCAGCTGCCCGCTTATGCAGTAAACAGGTTTGGTGAATTCCATTGCATCTGTGTAGGTGAAACTTGTGTATAACTTTTCTGTCTGTATTAGCTCATGATCTCACTCAGTATAATTGTGAGAGGTAAGCTTTGCGTTAGAGACCAAGTTTCATTGGACCTCGATATTTGTGAACACTGCAGTCCTCCTTCACCCCTCCTATTCAATTCTGCTGTAACTAGGCTTGCTCCTCGCTTGAGATTCATTTCTTGTTTGGGTCTGCTTATAGTCACTATACGATCAAGAGGTCTTGGGGCTGCAACGTAAATTGTCTAGAGGCTTTCTCTTACACCATTAGATGTTACTGCTCATGTTGCCTTAAGCCATATGCTATTCTCAACATGCGCATGTATCCCGAATTAGCTGTCGTAATGCATAAATTGTGCGTATTTGTAGCGGGTTATGTGGCTTGCAGGTACCAGCTCCTACGAATCCGTGTATTCGGGTAGCCACTGTCGCTAACTCATATCGTGCCGCATGTTCCGGCACACTATGCTGTACCATAGTTATGAGTTAGATCCCGTTTTGTGGTCGGCGATATTTCTCCATTGTGTTTAGTCCCACTCTTCTGTGTTAACTAATTCTTGCACAAACAGTTCCAAGTCAGTTAGCGACAATGAAGTGGCACACAATTTATCACCATAAATATTTGTTTTTAATACATTCTTTGATCCATCAGCCTATTCACTAGGGTTTATGTTCTAAACATTTTGACGACCCTCACCCCCTACATTGCTTTCATTTTCTGTGTTTTTGTATAAGGCTTCCCGTTGGTAGCCCAGCTAGTAAAGAAGGATTCGTTCAGCAGTCTGGATAGATATGCCTAAACTTTGAAGGCTGATTATTTAATGTATATTGGTCTTAATTCAATGAAAGGGTTTCGTCACAGATGCAGCGGAGCCGCTCCCCACACCAGTAACGTCCGCGGGCTGCTACCGTATTAGGGACTTAAAGCTCGCAGGTACTACACGTGTCACCTGGTAAAAGTTCCTCATCCTTCCGTCTCTTCCTACTTCTACTATTTCGACCTAATGCTATAGGTAAAATGCTATGACTGCGTTCAACTGAAGTGAAATACTGTTCCCCTGCCTCTGAAATTCTTTCGAAGCGGATCATCAGATAAGGATGCTGAAGTGCATCCTGTGTAGGGTGTCTTAGATGGCGAGGTATTATAGAACCTGATAGGATAGCTTCATCCTAGAGAAAGTTTCTTGAGCCATTGCGCCGCTGCCCCAACTCACCATAGCATTAGCTTGAACAGAGGGTCACCATTTAAACTCCGCTTGAGACTTATCCGTACTACTCACATACCTATTACTACCGTTTCCTCGCGCGCCCAATTTTGACTACTTTCCTCCAGTGAATTCGGTTCCCTTCAGCCAGATGATCCACCGCTGTCCACAAGCCTTCATTCCCTAAAATGATCCCCTCTATGTCAGTAATAGGCTCCAAACGTGTCGCTTGCTGTCTAGGTCTGACTGGGCCCAGTGAGTGGTTTCATTTATATACCCCTCCGCGCATGTATCTCCATCTTATTTTCCCTCAGCATATTTGTTAAGCTAAAGGTGTTTGCTGTTAGCCACAGTTCCGTGTTGCCTATCCTTACCGTATGTCCCTCTATATTCAATAGAGGCAAATGTTGACGAAAATGTGCAAACTGTTGAGAATGCTTTATGAGACACGCCCATCAGACTCTTGAAGCATACAGATATGCTAATCAGACATTAGCGTAAATATTTGAAGTCAAAGCAGTAGATTTACACACTGATTTTGGGAGTATTGAACTCCCTGCTGCTCATTTACTTTATAATAAAGAATGCCAAAAGAATATTTGACGACTGATAGGTTAGTACAAATCCCATATATAAGATTTCTTCGACTTTACCTTTGGTTGTCCGCTTATCCATCTTTGCAAGATTCCCGCAACAGAAACAATCACACTCCTCTTCATCTCATTTTCTTTTCATTATCTATTTCTAGCCCAAGACTTTTTTCATGTACCGTCTTTTTCGACTCAGTTTCTCGATACTCACAAGGTATACCACTTCTCAATAACTCTTTGAAGTACTTATATAAGAACTGAACTTTGGCACTGTGTTATAGTATAATTTCGTCATAGAGTAAATTTGTTAGTTAAAATCACACACTGGTACAACACTACTTACTAATGGCGTTTCGAGAACAATTTACTGCTGTTTATGATCATATCAAGGCACTCACATAACCTTACAGCACATATACAAAGTTGGAAAGTCATGTGGGCACATTAATATGATTATAAGCAGTAGATTTTCCTCGGGACGTCATTATCAAATAATTCTGTATTACCGTGTGATTTTATCAAACACACTTACTCGATGATGGAACTACTTTGTTATAGTGTAATCATCTCTTTATTGAAGACATGTTATGTGAAGAAATGCAATATGATATCCGGAAAGTCCCCTAATCTTTGTAAGTGTTTTCACTCCAACAGCATTTGGTTTTAAGGCCTAATTGAAGTTATCAGGCATCATTCATTTAAACCCCTCTTTTCACTCTGCTTTTTAGACTCATCAACAATTTACGCCCCTGTTGCTGTTACACACATAGTTTCATCTTGTCCCTTGAATTTAACATTTTAAGTCATAGGTTTCAAACAGTCAATGAAATAACTTAGAAAATAACTAAAAAGTATTTTACAATAATTTTTCATAGTTGCTGTATGAATGAAGTCTAATTTGAGTTCGAAGCTTCTAAAGACGTAATTAGGTGTTATTAAGACACAACTTTCTGTTTGTCAGTATAATAGCTTCTAACTTGCTATAACCGCAGTAAACGTCGCAAACCTTTGAGTTCATGGCATAACCACATGAACTTGACCATTTATTTTTTACGGCATGCTACAGTTGATTGTTTTGTCGACTAACATTCTTCTTAACAAGAACCGTGTATGACTGATTTACTCCTCGAAAGTTATTTAAATGAATTGTTTGGAGGGGTTGATGTAGACTTCTAGGTAAACCCTAAAGACGTCACCATTACTACAGATCTGCGATTAGAGCATTCATAAAAAATTACTTGTCATCTGGCACTTCAAAGAGAAGGACTGTAGAAATTACATCAAAATACGAAAGCTAGTTGGCAGTCATGGAACTGACTGCAAACAGTTTAGGAATTAGAAGTGACACAGTTTATGGCTAATCAAAAAAAAAAATGAATATCAGCTAGGCACATAACACCTTGCGTTTTGACAGGTCGGATATATATACACTAGTAAATTAGCAGTAATATTATTAACATTGCGCAGTAAAATTCATTTTGACTTACCTTGGTCTTATGTGTCTATTATATGTGGTTTCTTTCATTTCACAGAACAGTACAGTCAGCATTGATAGATCATGGTGCTGTCGGATATTAACATGCATTGATAGCCAACTTATGGATTTATTTGAAAAGCCTAAAGATGAATCCATTCTAATTGATATGAACACAATAAGTGAATCACTTTGGCGTGCGTTAGATGTAGACGATGAAACATTAAATGCTGAAGCTTTGCATGCTATTGGAACGCATATCTTGTATAAGTAAGTTACCTTGTCAAATTTCAATTCCCTATTTTCTTGATTTATCAAGGAACCATTGAACGTTGCTAAATTTGCTGCGTCTATTGTATGCCGGCTAGTAGATGAACATTGGTTTCTGTATTTAAGCAGACCAACGTCATGAACCTGAATTTTTTAAATGGGACTTTGAGAAAGCTATCGGCAGACTTTTCAGTTCCTCGTACTAATTTTTTTTGCTAGATATAATTTTCTTTATTCCTTCTTATTCGTTTGTGGCGATTGTAGAATTTTCCAAATGTCGAGGACGCGTTTTCAGTTGATTCTATAAATATGGACTCCGTTGTCAATCTCTCCGTTCACCCTGTTATATTAGATTTTGTGGTTGTGTGTACTTGCATGTAGCACTGCAAAGCTTAGCCATTTTCTGGATTTTACGAGGTCCTGGTAGTCTGCTGATCTTGATTGTCACTAAATGGTATTACTTGGCGAAGAAGTGGAAAGAGTCTCTGGTTAGCTGCTTCATTCTTGTTAAACAAAATGTGCACCAATGATCTCTAGAAATGATGTAATGGACTTCTTGAAGTTCTTATTCAGAAGTTTGGGTTAGTGCGTTTAACTAGCCATAATATGTCACTCGTGGCATCGGTCGATATTCGCGCTATAATTCTGATAACCAAGAGTTGAAAAATATGGCCAATTAAATAGTTCGAGGTCATAGATATGGTGTAGCCCTGATGGGCAGAGATCTAATAAAATACAAATTTTCAGTACTTTTCGGTTTTCATTAGCTCCTTGACTGACGCTGGTTCATTGGTCGTACTAGTTAATAAGGTGTATGCCAGAGAAACTGATGCTTCCATGGTAGACTGAATTTGTGTCACTTAGTATTAAATTCAATGAGCTTTTTCATTTGGACCCCTACTAAGTCTCTGTTGTGATTCGCGTCTTAAATATCACAGAAAAACAGGATGTATCTATCTTTTGTGGAACAATTGTCAGATGTAGGTGCCGTGTTATTCGCCTAATACTAGTAGTGATCACTTTATTCCAAACACTATTTGTCTATACCGAATGGAGTTTTCAGCATTGTGTGCATATTGCAACCATTTATCTGCTTTTACAAATAATTAAATAGAGTGGTAAAAATAATAAAGTTACACAAATAGAAGTATTCGTATTAGTAATGTTGGCAACAAGGTTACTGTTTTATTTACAGACCATAAAGTAGGTCTATAAACTCTTTTCTGACATTTGTGTTGTTATACAACACCCAGGCTAAATATGCCATAGCTGAACTATTATTACATTTTATCTGTACAAACATGAATTCTTGTGAAATTTCTCCTTGAATTACGCGAAGAGATACTAAGAGAAAGTTACGAATAAAGATGTTCAGTATCTGGACTTCGCCGATGATACATATCTGATTTCCCACAAACACTGGAAGATATGCGAATGAAAAGCAACAGGTTGGCAGAAGAAGCATCAAAGATAGGACTTCAGGTGAACATGGAGAAGACAGAGGTGATGAAGATTCCTGGACAAGAACAACAGACAACGATCAGCATAAATGGGAGGAACCTGATAGAAACAACCTCTTTTACTTACCTGGGAAGCATTGTTTCAACTACAGGCGGACGGAACTGACGAGGATATCAAAGCAAGAATCGGAAAACCAAGACAAGCTTTCACTACTCTCAAGTCTGTTTCGAGGTCAACAGCACTCAGAATCAAAAATGAGATCCGGATTTTCAACTTCAATGTAAAGTCAGTGCTACTATACGGATCAGAGACTTGGTGCGTCATAAAGAGCATCTCAAACAAACTACAGATCCTCATTAACAGCTGTATTCGCTCAGTAATCAAGATCAGATGGCTGGCCAGAAAAGATCAGCAACAGAGATCTCTGGCAGTGAGCGAACCAACCCAGCAGGAACCGATTGTGAAACAAATAGGCAGGAAGAAGTGGAGATGGATTGGCCATACTCTGAGGAAACCATCAAGTGACATCACTAGACAAACCATCGCTCCAGTGGAACCCGAAAGGGAAGTGGCGAGTTGGTCGTCAGTGGAAGGGTGACATGGAGGAGGTCATGTGAAGAGGAGATGAAAGCTTGTGGGCAGACTTGGAGCCAGGTGAAAACTCTAGCAGAGAACCGAACGCAATGGAGACGCACGGCTGAAGCCCTATGTTCCTCTAGGTATTAAAGGAAACAATAATAATATAATCAGTATCCGATGAGGTGACTTTAGGTGACTGCTTGCAAGAATTAAAATGCCTATCAACGCCTGTGTCAGTTAGCTGGTTCATAATAAGCACAGTCCTCTTTGAGGAGCTCAGGGAAGAACAAAAGGAAACAATGGAGAAGAGTTGTCGGATACACAAATTATTAAATTGCAAAAGAAAGTCTCAGTTTCCTTATGTAATAAGCCAGAAGAAAATTTTTCTCAGGCATTAAGAAGACATGACACAACCAACAAGGATTGGGAAGTAACTGAAAGTAAGATAAGTAATATTCGATTTGATTGGGTGGAAGATTTAATCATGAGCTGACATCAGTTAGAGAACCATTGGAAAACTAGCTGGGAGTACTGGACAGCTGTTTCATCGGCCTAGTTTGGGATCCTTCATCAGTAAGCACCTACCGGGACTAAAACCTAGGACCTTCTGGTTACAAGGCGAGCTTGTAAACCATTGAGCCACTGGGACCCAATACAATGGCCCATGAATTCTAACTTCTGCCAATTCACGACATAGCGCTGCCGATTCGCAATGTCTTCTTCTACGAGTTACTGTACCCTACTGGTCCCAGCTTCCCACTAGAACCCCAGGTCACTGCCTACCTGAATAGGGCCAGTCGTTAGTGAGCATCAGAATAATTTTCAAGTATTGGTTTTGTATTGATTTTGTTTTTTGATTGGATGGAGGATTTCATCATGAGCTGACATCAATTCGAGTAGTTTTCCAACTGATGTGTTAGCTCATGATGAAATCCTCCATCCAATCGAAAAACAAAATCCCTACAAAACCAATACCTGAAAATATTCGATTTTTTATATGAATCATGTGACGGAATAAGGCCATTCATTGGTTAATCTCAGATAGGAAACTATTCACATCACAACAATCTAATTAATGCAGACGGAAATTATCAAATCATTAGCGCATATGTTATGAAATTGGCTTTAAAACAATACGATAAGTCATGCAGAAAGAAATAAAAAGAGAAATGGAGAAAGTACACTCCACCACGATGGACACCGATTTCCGTAAGGAAAGAAGTGGAGCGCTTCCTACACAAAAACAAATTCTTATTCAGCTAGTAGTAGAATTGCTTTCCTAGGCAAGCAATATGATCAAAAATATACTTGTAGAATATATATTTAATATTTCTATTGTTTTACTTTCGAATACAATATCTGTCATATTGAGAATTTATCTCTAGCACTCGCTTAATCTGCCTTTTTTAGGAAGCAGAAAGATTGAGCGAAGAAATATTTACTTTTCAATTAGATCCTCGTCTCTGGCTCTATTCTAATATATATATGTATAGCATTTTTATTACAATACACAACAGTTTACCAATCAAGTGACACTGATATGTTTGTTAACAATAATTAGTCAGTGTCAAAATGTCAATGGGTTAATAATAAACGAAGAAAATCAATACACATTTAAAAGGGAGAAATGGTTAGAATAAATTAATTTTACAAGGATAACACGTAATTAAAGATGAAGTGGTCAAAATAAATAAAATAAAATAATTTGGACAATTATAATTTTTATAGGTTTAGGGGAAGGGGGGTGAAATAGTTCGGTTTACACATTCATGTAACGATGGCCAACTAAGGAAAGTGGCTGTACAAATTTCTTCTGAACACACAGGTTTGGCTTCTTCAGGTGGATTCCTATTGCTTCAGCTGTCTGTAGAAGACGAACTCGTAGAGCAAAATTAAGATTAGTCGGAATGCGATAAATAATTTTAAATGCAGTATTAACATCAACCTTATGCTCAGTATCAACAAGGTGTGCTAAAATAGAACGACGAATAGATCGTGTATGTCCCTTGCTTAACCATGTTGGATGATGTTCAGAAATATGACGATGAACCTGCCTAACTGTACGCCGAATGTAGCTGACTCCGCAGCTGCAGTCAAACTGGTAGATACACATAGAGGAGGTAAATTTAGGTAGTTTATCCTTATTTCTCGAACGTAGAATAGGTGTGGTTGTGAAGAGACAACGTACCTCTGCTGCATTATAAGCTCTTTTAACTGCATTCTTCTTGAGGCTCTGTGTTATTACTTCGCTGATGTTGTCACCGAGGAACTGCAGTTTTATGAACATTGGGTTTTTCGGAACTGTTGCCATACTGACTCTCCTAGGTGCTGAATTCATATTTTTCTCAATGAATTTATCGGGATAACCTTTTTTCCGAAGTAATTCTTTAATAATCTTAAGCTTCTCATTGAGGCAATCGTCTGAACAGATTAATCTGGCTCTATGAACCAGACACTTTACTAAGTTACGTTTATATTTCAAAGGTACAAAACTCAAAAAATGAGTGTACTGACCTGTTGTTGTAGGTTTCCTATACACACTCCTTAGTGTGCCATCTTCTTTCCTTGCTATGAAGACGTCTAGGAATGAGATACTGTCATTACTTTCTTTCTCCATGGTAAAGTATATAGCTGAATGTGCATCATTAAACTTATCAAGGATGTTCATTGCATCATTCTCGTCTTTCATAACCAGAAATGTATCATCCATGTATTGACAGTAGAAATCCAAGTCACTAATTACTCCTTTCAGTGGTCCATTCTCTATAACTTAGCGAGGAAAAATTCAGCTAGGATTGGACCTAATGGGGAACCCATAGCTACACCATCGGTTTGTCTGTAATATTCCTTATTGAATAAGAAATGAACATTCATTGTACATCTTAAAATAAGTTCCTTCAAGGTGGATACAGAAATGCCGATGTCTAACGTTTCGTGTAGTAATTTCCTCACATATAAAATCCACTGTCTCCATTAACGGTGCATCGGTGAACAAGGAGGATACATCTGAAGATATCATAAACTTGTTCCTCACATTAAGATCTATTTTTTTTCCAAAAAATTCAAAACTACCGTTTACGCTATGTTTTACCTTTTTTTATTTGAAATACAGACCCTTCGAATGTCATCTAAACCGCATTGTTCGATTACTTGAAAAATCTCAGGAATTATGGTCTGTCTATCAATCAAATTTTATCGGAATTGAGTCTGCCTGGTGTATAGGGAATTGTTTAATAGTGTTAGCTAAAATCAGAGAAAAGGCTGTGAATAGTGTGGATGGAAATACACTTGACTGGAATAGACTGATTCAAACATGTTGGTATGTTTTCTTTTTTCTCAATATATGTTGAACACTGATATCATGTTGTGTTTTTTTTTCTAGACAAAGAAATTCGTTTCTTTTTGAAATCAGTAATATATATTTTTTTCTCTATTTTTTTGATTTATGTAACAGTTTTCGACGAATACAATACGTCTGCTTGTTTTGCATCAAAAGATACTTCGTCAGTAGGGCATTATGCATTAAGATCAATGCTCCTAAATCGATCTACAAGAGACGTGCTATCTCTGCTACACTAACTAGCTAGTACTTTTGACCGGTGTGTTTGGAAGTGAAGGAGGTGGGGAGGGAGCTCATTTGTCCTGATTGTTAAAAAATCCATGGAGAACGGGATTGTATGCACAAAATGGCTGCTGATTTGATCCCGTTCAGTGGAATAGTGTAGTGTGTCTTCAATGAATTTAATTCGTTGACACTGAAACATACTATATTTTACTCTTCTTTTTGGTGGTGAGTGGTGTTTCGGTGCCCCATTTCCGGCCAACACACTCTTAGTGCCTCACATAGCTCATTATTCGACAGTAATCCAAGCAAAGAGGGAAAGGAAGGTGTGAGCTAGACACCCCATCTCAATAAATCACTAGCTTCAAATACAAAAAACTAGATCCTAACCGGACAACATACCCCAGTAAAAGTTCAGTGATGTGAGCCGTAATCTGCATGAGGGTTGTGTCTGGTTTACAGGTCACGTAAACACTCGGTCATATGTCTTTTCCTGTGACAATGGAGATTATAACACAGCTAAATTACTATTCAGAGGGAAGCAGTATTAGAAAGTTCTATTTTGCTTATTATGGAATGCATACGGAATTGGAAGTGAAATGGTACCAATATCCTAATGTTTCTCGAGGCTATCACGTTATTATACTTTCACTTACCACAAACGTTCCACGATAGGCTGTTGAATTAACTCTTATGTAGTCAATTTTTGAATGCTGTTCAGCAGCTGTCAAGGCCAAGAAGCGATAAAATTACCAGAAAGGTAAAATGTTAGTTCATAATTTCATGATAGGTAAATCTAAATGACAAAATAATTGAGCAAAGAATATCCTTGTCGATAATTTCCTCTTCTGGCTCTACAATTATATATATGTTTATATGTACATAGAATGATCTAGAGTAGTAGTCAATAACAATATTAGTTTTTTTTAAATAATATCGATATGTAAAGTAAGATCACAATGGAATTACCACAGTTCATTGAAGATGCTTAAATTGTAATAATAATAAAGATATAGTAGCAAATAGAATATCAACTAAAATTAGGAAATTTCTACAAAAAGTTGGGGATCATTCGAACCTAGATGGCCAAGTATTTACTTTACTTTACTTCGGCTATCTCCTACGGGAGGATGAGCCGGCTTCATGAACATCTCGAATCATCGCTGCCCAGGCGCGGCGATCTGATGCAAGGTTTTGCGACAGGGTTATCCAAAGAGTTCATGAAGTTTCATGGGAATTTGGTACGAGTGATGTCCCCAGAATCGTTTGGCCTTTTGTTTGAGAGTGCAGCTCTAGCCTTTATACAACCAAGTGTGACCTACAAGGCAGTAGGAGTGGAGTAGGGAGTCCACTATCCATTGGCAGCCGGTGACCGGAGTTCGGTTCATAGGCCTTTTTGAATTGGGCCAGACATCCAGGACATCCAACAAGCCCTTTGTCCATACGTCTGCCGGTGAGCTCCAGTGAGATTCATACGCCAGTCGTTGGAGGTTTGGAATCAGGGTTTAGCCATCTCCCCTAGACTGTCATCCAATGGACAGTCAACCCGGTAAAGAGCGCCGGGCATCCGCTTTCGCCCTCTCACTTTGGTGAAAAGCACCTCCGCTACATGAAGGCAGTGAGTAGGACTTCCTCAGGAGAGGCTATGTAAGACGCACAGTCATATGGGAGCATTTCAAGAGGTGTGCGGAGGGGTGGCCAACCCGCAGAGCAAGGCACCCACCCCCGACCATCCTGAGGCTTTGGAGGCAGATGGCCAAGGTAAGGACAATGTCTGAACTAGCTTCTTCTGGATGCACAAATTAGGCTTCTTAATATGGCTCTCAAAAGCCTCAGCAATATTTAGTAGTCGAACTCCTAAGACGAAATTGAAATTTGTTGGTATGCGGTGAATGACCCTGAAAGCCTGTCTGGTTAACATCAATCTTGTGTTCTGTATCCACAAGATGAGATAGAATAGCACTGCGAATAGATTTTGTTTGTCCTTTGCTTAACCAGGCAGGGTGATGTTCGGAAATTCGACGAGAAACACGCCTTATTGTACGGCCTATGTAACTGGCTCACTGCACAGGAGCAGTTAAATTGGTAGATACACATGGAAGAGGCGAAATTCAGCAGTTTGTCTTTTATTCAGACATTGTCCTTACCTTGGCCATCTAGGTTTGAATGATCATGAATTTTTGTGGAATTTTCCTAATTTTAGTTGAAATTCTATTTGCTGCTATATCTTTGTTATTATTATAATTTAAGCATCTTTAATGAACTGTGGTAATTCCATTTTGATCTCACTTTACAAATCGATATTATTTAAAAAACACTAATATTGTTATTGACTACTAATATTCTAGAATATTCTATGTATTATAAACATGCATATATAATTGTAGAGCCAGAAGAGGAAATTATCGAAAAGGATATTCTTTTCTCAGTTATTTTGTCTTTTATAGATGCCTGAATGCATTTTTTTGCTATACTGAAATCTAAAGGATTTTTAAATTGAATCGAGAACTGTATATTGATTAACATAATTTAAAAGTAAAGGCGAATACTCGGTTTTCACTTAGAATGTTTCACAGTTTCAATTAGAATTGTTAATAGCATTGTTTCACCAATTAATAAAGTTAACAATCCACGGATCATTGAACTCTGGCTGCATGGTTGGTCAACGAGCGCTTGTTGTCGTAACCTGAAAGTCTCGTGTTCGATCCCTAATATGGATTATGGTGCTCACTGGTGAAGAGTCCCAGTCAAGGACGAAACTGCTGTCCAGTACTTCCTGATTTGCAATGATCTGTTAGTGTTGCTGCTTCGTGACGAAATCTACATTAGAATTAATTCCAAATCCTTATATAAGCTCAAAATCTAAATTGTATTATGAAAGATAAGTGGGTAAATTTCTAATTGCAAACATGGAATCAGTTATTGTAAATCCCCATGTATTATTATAACACCCAAAATTTTCAATTTCAAAATTCCCTTCAATAATGATTTTCCCGTTTTTGATTTTAATCTTTCCTTTCCATCTAGTGAGTTGTGTTCTACGGTGGATAAATCGACGAAGGTAAATCATGAAGTGAAACGATCAACAAAGGTTGAAATTGCAGGAAAAAATGCGTTGCCAGCTGAATGCGAATCAGTTAAAACCACTATTAATAATAATAATAACAACAATAGCACAGTAGACGGTGTCATTAAAAACCCAGATGACCATCGTTGTGAAAATGGAGCTAAAGCATTGGGTTATGCATTGGGAGTACTGGCTCCTGGTATGATAAAGAAACAAGAAATAATTAATGAAATGGTTAAGGTGAGCTTTATCAATCAATTTCTTTTTGGTTTTGATGTGTACTAATAGTTTAAATAACACTTTTCCATCAATTGAAACGATGTGACACAAATGTACGATATCCAAGTCGGATTGAACCCTAACTCACTTCAGCGACTCAGGGATTGACTTGCTACCAGGGAATAACCCGGTTGACTTAGAATATGCAAATGATATAGTCCTTCTTGGCAAGGACGGTGACAAAATGAAGCACAGTCTTCTGAACACCTTGAGCTGCAATCTACGAATGTCTGGTATGCGATTCGCTCCCGCCAAATGTAAGATGATGTTACATGACTGGACTACACTGACTCCTAGTTTAGAAATAGGGAGTGAAGTGGTAGAGCACGTTGACCGCTTCACTTACTTGGGAAGTACCATCAGCCAATGCCAACGGGTTGATCTCCGACGAAATCTCAGCAGGAATACAGAGGGCTAGTTTCGCATATGCCAGTTTACGAGGTCTCTGGCGTAGACGTGATATCCGACTATCGACCAAAGGGCGTGTATACTGCTCAGCAGTCCGCTCCGTCCTCCTTTATGGCTGTGAGACCTGGCCATTGAGAGCGGAAGGCATGAAAAGACTGGCTAGTTGTCTTTGATCATAGGTGTCTGCGTTCTATCTCCCGCGTGAAGTGGCATAATAAGGTTAGGAATATTGAGGTGAGGCTTCGTCGAGTGCTAGGTAAGGAGGGGAAATCAATCGACGAGGCTGTGAAATTACATCGACTGAGATGGTTAGGGCATGTGTTACGTCTGCCTAGTCATCGCCTTCCTCGACAATGGGCAATGTTAGCTGATATTGGGCCAGGGTGGAAAAGGGCTAGCGGCGGTCAAACCGAAACATGGCAGCAGTCAATGAAATCTACAACAGTTAGTCACGTAGGAAGGTGTATACTTCGTGTCTGGTTGGCGTCCTCGGAACGGTAGAAACCAATGGCTGGAGACAGTCGGTGATATGGCTCAAAATCGTTCTCAATGGCTGTCAGAGATGCATCCACTCCTTGTGACTTATAATTTCCAGTGAAACTATAATGTTCTTCGGTATTACTATTCTTTTCGCCTTATATTTCTGTTTACTGTCTCTATTATGCATTTCTCCTACTTTCTTCTCTTGCTTTGTGTGCTACATGGGGTGTGGCAACTTGAACTGCCGCCTATCGGTGCAAAGTTCTATGTCGAAAACAGACAGACAGATAGACAAGTTGATGGCCAGGAAGGAATAGCAATAAAGAATTCTGGAAATGAACTAACCAACAACCTGTCGACCAACAGATATACCGGGGGTAAATGGGTCGGATACATGCTGAGGAAACTGTTGAGTGGAATTACGCATCAGACCATCACTCGAGTGGAACTCAGATAGGAAACAACAAGTTGGGTGTAGGTGCGAGGGTAACATGGAAGAGATTGTGTGAAGAGGTGAAGGCTTACGGGCAATATTAGAACCAACTACAAACGACTGCAGAGGACAGTGTGCAATGGCGATATGCTATTGAAGACGTGTTTTCTACTCAAAACCTAAGGGAATAACAGTATAATAATAGTAATAATAACAGCGTAGAGGAGTTGCTGTATAACTTACTAGTTGAATAAAGTAACTTGAAGGAATGACTCCATTTGGAGAACCCCTGAAAACCAGCAGGAAGTACTTGAATAACTGTTTCGTCCTTTATGGGGACTTCTCATCGGCACACACACCGATGATCCCACTAAGGACCGAACCTAGTACCTTCAGGTTACAAGTCCAGATCGTATACTGTTCAGTTGCTGGAGGGAGATGGAATCTAATGGTTCATCAATTCCAACTTTTGCCAGTTCACGATATGTATAACACCACTGCCAGCCAACGTCATCGGTGAGTGTGTTTCTCCCCCACGGCGAACCCTGGTGAAGCCTTACTGATCACAACTTCTTACTAGAACTCCAGGCGACTTCATCCTGTGAGCACCAGACTAATTTTCAAGTGTTAGTTTTGCAGTGACTCATTGATTGATTTGAAGTGCGACGACCCAATGGATTCCGTCGTAGTGGCTGGAATAGCTAACGACTTTTCCCTACTATCTAAAAGTCTTGGGTTTGATCCTCGGTGGCTTCATCAGTACGCACGTACTGCTCAAGATTCCCAAACTAAGACTTTCAATATAGCCCTTTTAGCTTAGCCTAATTTTAAATAATGCCAACCAGTGGGTTTAAGAGTTCAGTTTATCACTAATCAAGTGGAACTAAGTACACAGGTTTATTTCCAGATTTTTTCAGTTCCTTTCTTTCTTTAATTGGTGGATGGTGACTAGCAGTGGAATCCAGGATGCGCATTTCGTCCTATTTGGGACTCGTCATCTGGATGTACCTGCATTTCTCAGTGAGTGATGATGTTCCCACTGAGGCTCGAACCCAGTGCCTATAATTTCAAACGCCAAAGCGTTATCCATAGACCACTTGGGCCACGAGAGCCACCTCTTGTGCAACGGGTCATATTGATTTAATTGGATTTTAGATTTTCCCGTCGATTGATTGAACCGAAATGCTCGGTTTCAGGTTCGAGCCTCAGTGGGAACATCATCACTCACTGAGAAATGCAGGTATATCCAGCTGACGAGTCTCAAACAGGACGAAATGCACATCCTGGATTCCACCGCTAGTTACCATCCACCAATTAAATACTAATTAAATACCCAGACATCGTCGAAGCATCTGCTCAAGAAGCCGACATGTCAACCTGAAACCGAGCACTTCGGTTCAACCAACCTTTCTTTCTTTTGAGGTATGTACATCACCAACTGTTTTGAATTAATTCGGTGAAAAAGTCATTTAATAAACATTTATAACAGTGATTAGGAAATTGACTGTTGTAGTCTCTGTCTGTTACAGTAACACTCTAGAATAATGATAAATAAAAACAATCTAAATCTGTTCACAAGATCCCCAAAGAAATCAGTGCACATGATTTCGAGACAGGAGAAATTTGATGTAATGTTATGAAGCAGAATAACTTCTCATTAATAATTATACTAAGTAAGAAAGAATTTAAGACATCTACAGATTCACTATATAAGGAATGGACGTCTGAAACGCATTGGTAAGATTCCTAATAAATCAGGAATTATAGTGGTATTTAAAATTAAAAATTCTCTCACAGACAAGCTGTGTAGGCTAAAGGTCCCTCCTACTGAACCAATAAGCAAAATAATGTATTCCACGAATTACCTTGCAATGAATGTCAGCCCATCTACGTAGATCATCAGGTCAGTAGATCGAGGTCAGTCAACTTTTCGGATGCATAATCTGAACAGTATTTATATAATGTAAGGAATTTCCAGAGGAGTTTATTGCACCATATTTTCCCTTTGCACAGTATCTTCAAGTAAAATATTAACTGAGAGTATATCACGTGAAACAATAGTCTCTGAGCCGAAGCACAAACTATTCCATTATAATACTTCTGCTTTGTCACCTTCAAGAAATCTATGATATCTGGTTGAACGCCAATTGTAAGAAATTCAGAAGTACATTTTGAGACCCAAGGACTTAAATGAAGAACAGTTACCTCACTTATTGGAAAAAGTCGATATCCACAATAAGGCCTTTCCCCAAGCTTAGAAGCCTGTAAACATTCTAAATACACACAGGAGTGGATAGTACCTTCCAATGATCATATCTTAATCGATTAAAACAATCCGAGAAAGAGATAACATATGCGATAGAGAGAGATGAAAGTTTTGTTTGAAACAGACACTTCAGGCCTTCTACATATTTATGAAAGGATATATATAGCCAAAGTGAAATAGCCTAACAAAAACTGAGCTGATAAGTATGAACTCAAAAAATATCAATCAATAGTCCATTGTTTAACGTAAGAATATTTTGGAATGGTCCGTTGAATAAAGAGTCGGTGTTTCCGTCGTAGAATGCTGGTCAGCAATGCATGTGGTCCGGAGCTCAAAACCCACACGATACACTCCTAAACCTCTCCTTGTCTAACTTACTAGTCGGATAGTATGTCGAGAAAACAGACAAGGTTAGGTGTGTAAGGCCAGCAACCTACAACACATAAGAAAGACACCAAACCTACTGAAACTGCAAAGCTTAAAGCGTGAAACTGTATGCTCAGCTAGGGATGCAAAAGAATGGAAAAAGGGAACTCTGGTTAACACCACTAATCAGATACTATTAGAAATTAGGGTGTCAAACTAACTTTTAAACGTGTTTTTCTCTTGACGGTCATTTTTATATATACATACATATTATAGGCAACTAAGTGCTTTTGTTCATATTATTCTTTTATAAAATATTAGACATTGTGCCAAGCCTTAGTATTGGACAAAATCAACGGAGCTGCAAAAGTTCGTTGGAATGCAAATTATTCAGCCGGCCATCTATTTCGTAATCAATTACTTTGGAGGGAATTGATTAAAAATCATTTATCAATCGATAATGCTATTGAAGACGAGAAGGATATTTGGTCAGTCATTATGCATAAATCTATTCATACTGACGCTGACTGTCAATTGGATCCAATAACATCTTCGCAGAGTATACTGGAATTAAGTGACATCGTCAAATATTTATGCAAAACCATAACATATGATAGATATTTCAAGGTTTGTTATTTTAAAAAAAAATTATTATTATCTAATATTTGTTTCATAAACATTTGAAACTACTCATGAGTATCAAATAAGCAATACTAATAATAAAGCAGGATTTAATGAATTTATCGGATTTCGGTAGAACTCGTCAGCTGCTCGGTACTCTACATACATGGATATATATGTATACTTTTGAAATTACATTGGGAGATGTAAGACTGATAAGTAAATAAACTACATTGAATAAGTCATGCAGATAGACACGTGCGAATGTTTTCCAGGTCATGTTCAAATAGATAGATAAGGGGAGAGGGAGTATGAGAGATCAGAATTAAGATAAAATGCATTACGCTTCAATTACATCACTTAGATAAACACTAGAAAATACAACAAGAATTGCAAACAGAGTAATATCAGTAGTAATAGTTGTATTAACAATCATAATAATAGTGTTGAAGTGAGTTAAGATAATCCTACTGATAAAGGATAGTTTTAAATGAATCAATAATAATAATATGAGGTCGAATAATAAGTAAAATGTATTACCATGGTAGATTCAGGGTGACGACCATCTCCTTTTGTACACAGAGACCTGGTTTATGAACTCGAATTGCACAAGCCTCTGCAATTTCAAGCATCCACTTGTTTCTTTGTCTGCTGACAACAGTGAATGACTTGACAGCATCGATATCATGTCCATACTCCACAAGATGTTTTGTTATTGAGGATTTTGGCACTTTGTACTCAGCTGTTTTCAACCATTTTGGCAAATGCTCCATCATGCGAGTAGACAATCGCCTTTCGATAGGTTCGACCTATGTATTTGCTTCCACAAACACACTCATCAAATTGATGTACGCAGTTTGAAGTGTCGAGGATCGGCGACTGGTCTTTCTCAGATTGTTGAAGCACTCGCTTAGTGGTGTTAAGGAAGACAAGTTTTGCAGCATAATAAGTTCTCTTGATGGCTTTATCGAGTTTTCTTTTGACTACTTCCTGTACGTCATCTCCTTTGAATGGCAGATTGATACAGACAGATTTCTTCAGAACTGTTTGGATTGTTTTGCAAGGACTAATTTCTTTAGAGTATTGTTGTTGATGACATTTTTATTGTCTGTGGAAGCCGACTAAAAGCTGAAGACATGCTGATAAAATTCAACTCATACCATCCGAATCTCAATTTCAAAATAGAACACAAGCAAAACCATACTATTACATTCCTAGACGTTTTTCTAGAGAAAATGACTGGTGGCACAATCGAAAGATCTATATTTAGAAAGTCTTTATGGACAGGACAGTACATGCATTTCAAGAGATTTGTTTCAATCCAGTATAAAAAGAACTTAGTCAGAACACTGTTCAATATAGCACGGAAAATTTGTTCTGACAGTACTATTGAGCATGAAATAAAAGCTCTGAAGGATATTTTATCTAAAAATGGATGTCCTGAGAAGTTCATCAATAAATACTTTTACTTTTTATGTTTTTTATTCAAAAGGTCGACCAGTTTGTATTTCATAAATAAAACAAATTCTTAGATTTATTAGGCAGTTTCTTTGTGAACGGAACTAAAGGGTATGTATATCTTGTTACTCAGTTGGTAGATGGTAGTGAGGAAAACTGGCAGTCTCTACAGATTGTTAATGCCGTCTAACTACGCTAAACTATTCATACCACCACCAGTAGTTCCTATGATTAGTGTGAACAAAAACGGAACGCACATTCAAATCAACCAGTGGACGGTATACATCTACTCATTTTGACCGATCAGTAGTATGTAGTTTTATAGCTGTAATCTCCCCTACACTATTGATTCAGGGTAATTTGAAACAGCAATAATGTTGTTAATAAGGTAGAATATTTCTTTCATTATTGCTGTGGAATCTGATGAACAAGAGGTCTTTGTTCATTAATCAGTGTCAAGGAACTTAGCCCTAAGTTCCTATTGTAACGAAGACTTAAGCGATTGAGCCGATAAATACTATGAGTTTTCTTCAACTTTAAATCCAAAACACCAGTATTCCTCGAACGAAATTATATTGTTTGGCAATTAAATTGAAGAAAACTACAAAGTCTGCAAACAAATGTTAAGTACAAATGAAGTTATAAAGTACTTTTATTCGTATTGAAATCCAGTCTTCGTTCAACTTGCAAGCGATCGTTCCATTCGCGCCTTGAATTGCCCGCTAATGGTTGCCAGTTCCAATAAAACAAACGTTCAATGTTCACTTCCATTGACACTCCCCGGCAAAAAAGGGTCCATCCCTTTTTTCCACAGCGGCGGTAACCTTGAACTGAACTGCCAATGCGGGAACCTGGGCCAATCGGGACTAGGCTAAAATTGGAAAAGCAAGACAAAAAAGCCCAACACACAGCAAACATACCACATCACACCGACACGCTCTCCCCGGCGCATGGGGTCTACGCTCTCTGACGACAATACCACCACTGATCTCGTTCACAAAGTATCGATTGCTTCATTCCACTCTAGCCCAATCCTCTCCCCGGCGTATCCAATCGCGTACGCTGACTTTGACTCTACTCGATTCGTTCACAAGTTTAGAAGAGAATTCAGAAGTACTTACAAAAACATTACAAGATGATTCACACAATGCGACAACTATAAAATTAACCGACAATCAGATGAATCGGAACCCAATGAATTACTCAACACAAACAGATGTACAATCAATACATCAAATATTGCGGATTCTGCCTTGACGAGCTACCCTTGAAGAACTGTAGGACTTACAGCAGTACGCCTACATTTCTTCTCAGGTTGACGATCCAAGTGGAAGACGTCCGGATACAGACAAAAATAATCAACAGATAGAAGAGGGATGATACCAATTCATTATATACAACATGAACATATATACAGAATAATACACCAAGTACGATGGACTGCTCCTCGACGTACTACCCTTGAAGAATTGTAGGACTTACAGCAGTACGCCTACAACCCTTCTCAGGTTTACGCCCTTAAGTTGGAAAATCGTCGTTGAGCTCATTTGCTGACCTCCTTCCATCATCTATATCCTCGACTCTGAATGGTAACACGCCCATGACATTGTATCGTGGAAGGTAGATGACTAACAAACATACGACGTATCTGACCAACCAAGCGAATGTACACAGTAATTTGCACCAAAGATAATAACATTCAAATAGTAGTTTGAAACCTGAAATGCCTTTATTCGTGCAAGTCAGTCTAACAGTTACCACCCTGTACACAGTTGGCTTATCGTCACTAAACTGGCCATTGACTTTCGTCCCTTCGAACGGACCGACACTAGCATAATCACTGCATAAGACACGTTGATTCATGGACGGCTCTTTTACTGCATATGACAACACCAACGACGACTGGCTGACACCAGTTAATGAACTTAGCGGTGTATCAGAGGCTGTTGTTGTTAGACCTTTAGGAGGTTGTCTAACCACAGGATTACCATCACTGCCATCTTTCATTATTGGCTCCAGTTCTGCATTAACATCTGTCAATAGGTTGACTACACGCGAATCATTTACACTGACGGCCTCACGAGTATCCATATCTGCAGCAACCGCATCTGTCTTTAATTCTACTTCACTTTCAAGTTGTATAGAACCTTCGTTCAACTCAGTAGTAGTAGGCATTCCGCTAATCTCATCATGATCAGCCAAAGACAAATGTGAACTATCGTGACCATTGTCACAAATACCCACTTTACCGCCGTCTGTATGATAGACTTCATCATTTTCAAACTCCTTAATAACAGCCGTAGATGACTCACGTTCTTCTTCATGAATCTTTAAAGGTTTTATTCCTTTACTCTGACTAGTAATACCTTGTAAACTTGTGGAGTCAGAACTGGACACTGAAACTGTAACCCTATTCTTATGCACAAACTGCGGTGTCGTCTGAGACACTCTTTTCAACAATGGATTACCAGTTACGACAACAGGCTTCTTCACCGCACCATTAGCGTTACACAATTCGGAGTCAGAACACGATGACGCTGACTTCACATTTAGCTTGCAACTAAACTTGCTCGTTGCTTCACAGTTCGCCTTTGTATGCACTTCTTGCAAACGGACGAAGCACAACCGTGTTTGTCTCGCAGCTTGTAACTTATCCGTTGGGGACGTCTCACTAAAGCTGTCACAATCATTAGGTTTACTAGACACCATACAGCTTTCTCGATATCCACTACGCTGAGACCCCTTCATCATGAATGGTTGCATTTTACTCTCTGATTTCTCTATTCCAGGGGAGGGATGCAGTATACTAGCAAACTTGTTCAATGCTTGGTTGACACTGTCTTTCACCAGGCTCACAATGTCATCCAACCTGGGCTCTAAACCTTCCTCCTCTAGACGTGAACAAACCTTTACAAACTTCCTTTGTAGACGAACAGGTAATCTCTTGGCAACAGTTTCAAGCACGGAACTTGAGTTCAATTCATCTACGCAGTTAAAAGACATGAGTGTATTTCTATATACCATCAAATTATCCAAGAACTCTGCAAGTTCCTCTGCATTATCGTTCAACTGTGACCCGTTACCTTTCACCGTCTCGAAAATACTACGGGATATCATATATGGTTTTCCAAACCTCTGACGGAGTATCTTCATGGCCTCATCATATCCTTCGTTCGGGGGCATAAACTTACAGCACTGTATGGCTCTTGCAGCTACACCAGTGCAATATCTCAACAAATACATTAACTTCATTTCATCATTCAATACAAAACCACTCAGCATGACCTCAAACTCTTTAATGAACTGTGGGTAGTCGGCTGGGTTTCCATCGAAGTATCTCGGTTCAAACTTAGGCAGTCTTAAACCCTTACTGTCACTTAACGGTGAGGCATGAACACCAAACTTAACATGCTGAGCATCATACATATCATTACAGTTAACAGGCAACTCATCGTGACTTACTTTTTTGTCTGCTTCCATTGTGCCATGTCCCTTTCTTGACCCAGGCATTATCCGTCACCAAAGAATCCAAATTGCGTTGATAATCC